AGATCTGAATCTGTATCCCACTATCAAGGGTGAAATTATTTCAGCCATGTGACGTGATGCATTTTAATCATGCATCGTTGAAACGCAAAACCCAAATTGGTCAGCATTATTTCCTGCTGCTGACATCCGGCTGGGTCTCATATCCCTGTTGAGTCTGTGAATCAGGGTTATTTGGGACTGTTGCTATGTTTAGCCTACTGGGGAGCCCACATGGAAAAGCCCTTTGAACCACCATGCATTTTAAGTTCAAATTCTTTTTGGTCTACAACTTTGGGAGGACATGAATTAACAGAGGATACTGTTTGCAGTGTAATCTGCATAGAATTTGAATGTGGTCCCCTAGAGCTGTCAAACAAGGTAGCCCTCTCTGAATATCCCAGGAGGTATGGTGGTTCTTGCAACATTGGCCACATTAGATAACCACAAGCGCTGTCAAGAGGGAGTAAACATTTGCCTTCTGAGGGCAGCAGTGTTTTTCGGATTGCTTCCCTTCAGAACGCAGCCTGTGGAGTGAACTGGTGGTTGCAGTCTAGTTTTTGTGACCAGTGTTATGGAACCTTCCATTTGGAACCCAGAGATGGCCACTTCCGACCTGGGACAAGATTGCAGAAACTTTCAAGTCTCATTTCCCCTTGTGTCATCCTGGTCGTGTTTTTGGTTTTTTTTTTGTTCTTCCTGGGGCTGTGAATGTCATGCTGTGAAGCTAGAACTTTCCACCCTCTCTAAAGTACCACCAAAGGAATCATTTGCTTTCTAATTTGCCAAATTGAAAACTGTAGAGACGATTTCCAGTGTGCCACATCTTTGTAATATGTTGGGTTATTTTGAAAACAAGTCTGTAATTTCATCTTATGGTGCTGTGGGTTTCATCATGGTTCCTTTTCTCATGCTGCCTACTTTATGCTGAAGAAGAAGAAAAAAAATCGGAACCTATTTTATATAATGATATCTGCTTCCACGTGTTATCTAAACATGATGGTTCTTTTTCTAGGAGTGTTTAGTTATTCCTTTGATTTCTCTGAATTTATTTCATTAAAGTATTGGAGGCCCCTCCAGTCCTGTGCCCTCCCTGTTTCCCATCATTTTGCTCACCTGTGGCACTCAGGGTTTCTTCCATAAACTCCGGTTTCTATATGTCTTCCAAGCCCAGCTTCAGGGCCTGGCGTACCCTCTGCCCTGTAGCATTTTTGGATATGTCATCCATCCCACAGTGAGCAGCATTTCCTTCTGAACTGCCATTATCTTTGCAGATACACTTGGCTTATGCCCAGGACCCTTTTATACCCAGGATTTTGGTGTCTGTTCTGTGTTTCATAAATTCAGTGACTGTGTAGTTTGTTATCCAAACCAGGATCGTTTTGAGAGGAACAGTCGGGGGAATATGAGACTGTCTCAGACTAACCAGGGTGTGTGGTTGACATTACTTCTACCAGAATCTCGAGGTGAGAGACTCAGCATTCTGTGTGCTCTGTAAACACCCAGCAAGTGACTCCTTGATTGTCTCTCTCATGAAATTTTTGAACCCACCAGTTCCTCTTTGAGCATTTTCCTGCTGATGGCCTTTTTGGCTAGAGTACAAATGATCATAAATCCTATATACAGTGCCAGCAACCTCACCTCCCTCCCAGTTTTGTTTCCCACTGTTCATTTTGGCCGGATACAGTGTTCCCCCAAATACCATTTCTAAAGGCTAGAAGAGAAAGATAGCCAAGGCCCAGTGACCTTTAACTGTGTTTGTCAGTTCACTTCTTAGTTATTGAGCTGGCTCCTGAAATATATTCTGCTTTGAAAATGCTTAGGCAAAGCATAGTTGAAAATGGCTCTAGGAATTTTAATGACAGTTCTCACTGCTCTGGCGGTGCTCATTCTGGACAGCTTATGGCTAGCAGGACCATTAGAGTGTTATTCACACAGTGGAAGGCCCCCCAGTGCACGATTCAGGTTAGCAAGGCAGGTCAGTGGGTATGGCCTGCTTCCATTTTCCCAACGTGTTTGACGAGAACGGCTTTTGTACTTTTAAATAATCTCTTCTATTTCGATAGACCTTTTCTCCCTTCTTTGTTAACAGTGCCATTTCCATACAAGGCTCGACAATGAACTCACCATTGCCCAGTGGAAAGGAGTGGCTGGTGTTATAAGTACGCCTGTTGCTACCTGGTCCTTGCCTGTACCAGGCTTTGTGTTTGATTTTGTGATTTTGATTCTGTCCAACCCAACTCCCCTTCCCACAGACCCAGCCCTGAGTCCTTTGTCGCCTTAAATACTTTCTCAAGCACTGTTTTTAATTTTTTTTTCCCCTGCTCTAATTTTTCTCCCTCTCACCTACTTTAGCATGTAGCCCTCTAACAATAGTGAGAAAGAAAGATATTCTAGTGGTGTGACCAGCTGAAGCAACAATTGGATTTATGTTCTCTGTTGAAAAAAAAAAACTTTTAAATTTTATCGCTTCCTTTCTTGCTAAATGCTTGTTGAACTGACACAATGAAATAATTGGAAAGAACCAGCTTCCTCTAATTAAATCTTTCATTGGGACTGTTGGGAGAAGAGCAAAGTTTTTTTCTTTTTAATTAGTTGTGATATTTTAGGAAAAATTAAGGCAGCAGGAGGAGGTAGGATCATCAGTTTTCTTTTGTAATCAGAATTGATTTCTGTGACACTCAGATGAGGTGTAACAGGCGTCTAGTTGTCTGCCAGTTTCATTTTGCCCCATCTTTCTTGGTAATAAAACCCCTAATTTTAGCTGGCACGTGGTCACCTGGAATGTAGACTGCATTTACCTGCCTCTCTTGCAGCTAGACATCCCTGTATTACAAAATTTCGAATAATTGCTTTTAAGTGGAAGTGCCATGTGCAGCTTAAGCCTCGCTCCCCCCCCTCTTTACATCTTCCTGAAGGGGATGCAGACATGATGGCTGAGCTCAGGCAGCCATCTTGGGCCTTGAGGTGGGAGTCATGCATTGGGGATGGTTGGGCAACAAGCAGCAGGAACCTCTGGATTGCTTGTGTGTACTTGAGAAACTCCTATTTTGTATAACCTCTGTTATTTGTGGTTTGCTCTCACATGAAGCTGATCAGCGTCTCAACTATACATCTGTGAATCTATTTCATCTTGTTTGGTACAAGGGCAGTGCCTTGAAATTTCTTTTTTTATGTCAGACTATACCTCAGAAGTAAAGGAATGCTTTATTTGGTAGACAAGAAAGTCTTAAGTCATAGAAGTAAAAATGAGATGTTCTTCAGTCTCTAAAATCTTAAATGTCACATGAGAAGCCATCCTTGTGACTTTTAAAAGCCACAAAAATGCCCTTGTGCTTTGCCTTTCTCTCCCCCTTCCCTAGTGGTTCAGTCCTAAAGCCAGTAAGTGTGATAGAGAAAGAGAGGTGCTCAGTGTTGGGCGGGTGCATGGTGGCCTAGAGCAGGGTGTGGGAATGCGAGTGGGGTGAGGAGAGCGTCTGTGTGGGATGGGGAGCCTGGCTTGGGAGGTCCAAGGTCAGGCAGGGGGAGGCGGGTGAGGGTAGATAAGAAGGGTAAGTCAGAGCAGAGTGTGGAGGTGTCCAGGTGGGAGGAAGGGGTGGAGGGGTGACTGCAGTAGGTACTGCATTACTCCGCTGGTAGTTGAAAGGGCTCAGAAGAGACCACAGCGCCGACTCGCACATGGTTTAGAGCAGTAAGAAAGCACAGATGAGCCTCAGGGGCCCAAGAGGCTCCCTCGTGACTCCCCAGGGTGGTTTCTTAGCTGCTTAGGACATATTTCATCTCCAGACTCGAACCATCGTGACATTTGGAGGAATCAGAGTTTTGGGAGAGCACAGGCAGCAGTGTCCAGCCTTCTCTTTTATGCCTGACTGGTCATGCACCTGAACTCAGGTGTAAGCCATCAGTTTGCACATCCCTTATCATGTAAGCAAGCTGGCCCTGGGGTCCTTCAAGGTGTTTTCAACTTTAAACAAATAGAACGTTGCACAGCTGGGTAGCCAGGTCGTCTTGATTTGACCATTTCCGGGTGTCCCTACAGGTAAGCATAGAGCTGCCCCAACCTTGCTGTAAGATACCTCCATGCAGTTACATACAGAAGTATTGATAAAGTAGGCAGGTTAAAGGGAATGGAAGCCAGGGTTCTCACTGTTCGTGGAGAGAATTACAAATATGGAAAGGGAGAAGACTAGAATGAACTGTGTCATGCTGTATTGCAATTGGATATGGTGGTGTGAATGCGTGGTTTTCAGTAATATAAATAATGAAGTCTCTGTGTGTGTGTGTGATGCATGATGCTGACCGTACACTGACATTTTAGAACCCCAAATAAAATGGAAGACAGATCCCTTTTTTTGTTGGGACTTTTTTTTTTGGTGGATCTGCATATGTATTTTGTCTTCATACTTGGAAAAACCATCGTTTAAGCAAAACTAACCTTGTTCAGCAGAGTAAACCTCCATGATAATGTTTGAAAACTGGTGTGCAATCTGTAGGTGCATTAAAACACCAATCAATACTTTTTTAGGGGAAATTTTTTTTTTTTGATAGTGTATAGAAGAATTTCTGTGTTGACAGTGGGCGTAGATGAAGTAATATGCTGCCAGCCTCTGTTACATGATCTTTCTGTGTTGATGTGATCGTTTTTTAGCTCAGGGGAGGGCTTTGTGCCTCTCCACACTGTTGGCAGGTTCTCAGATGGGCGGTTTGTTGAGATGGATCGCTGAGGCTGGGCCCACAGAAACCAGGTCTCTAAGCAAAGCTAACTGGCCCTGGTAATGTCTGATCCTGCGACATTAATCTCATTAGCTGCAACTTGCTGTGCTAATCACACTGCTAATTACGTGACTTTTCTTCATTTGGTTTCGCATTTACCAGACAGTGTTATATGAATCCTTACTTCTGTTTTTGTGAGCGATAACAGTTCCACCTGTGGAAATAATTTAGCGCTTTACCTTGTAGGAGTGGAGCTATAATTTACGTACATGAACTAACTGTGTGATCATTTTTCTTTTTTTCTTTTACAGTCACCTTATCCCACATCACACAACTGGTCCTCAGCCACAACAAGCTAACAAGTGAGTTGACTTTATCATTTGTTTCCCAGTTTCTGACTTGCAGGTAATGTGGTGATACTGCTGATTCTTTTGTTTCCTTTGAAGACACTAATGACAAATATTTATTTGGGGAAACCTAACATTTATTTTGGTGACACTAAGATATATTAGCATATTGTCTTCCCGTAGTTTTGTACTTTGCTCTGTTTTGAGGATTGTTTCCTAATAATGTGTGTAAACTGAAGAAAAAAAATGACATTGCTTCCCTGGGAATGGTCCCAAAATCAGGGATGGTAAAGGATGCAGTGACGTGAAAGGCTGGGCCATGCGTTAGTGTTTCATGAAAAAAGTTACCAAAAAATATTAGAAGAGTTCTTTGCTTTCATCTAGACTTCCTCCTCTAAGGGGAAAATTTAACTGTCGATATACTTTTCTTCCCTGCTTGATAGGGGAAGAAAACCACACAGTTGCTTAAATTATATAAATTTGCATCTGCCATTTTCAAATTCTTGAATTTGGTTTCCAGGAAAAATTCTGTTGGGTACTGGTAGTGTCATGGTGTGGTTAACATATAGTAGATTTAATAACCTGCTTTTATAAGAATATCTTATGGGAATGACAGGAGCCATGTTATTGTCAGAGCTGTGGCTTTAAAGACTTTAAAGACAGGGACCCACTCTCCTTTCTCATCCCTAATTGACTGTCACTCCTTTGTGCTTGCCATACTTCCTTGCAGACCTGAATGATTTTCTAATCATGTGGCAAGAATTTGTTCGGGAGCTTTCCGAGTTCAATGAAATTGAGCAGAATGTCGTCTTGAGGGATTTGTGCCATGAATTTATATGTGTATGTGCGTTACATACAGCTCGAAGCAATGTCACAGAGCTGTTGATAATCTCGAATTAAGAGTGGCAGGGCCCCTCGTGTGGAGGAGACAGGAAGATTAGTTCATATTTAGCATATCTGCAGGGCAGTGGCAGAGGGGCACAATTGTCATGTTTGAGTAGCGGGGCCCACAGCAGCTGAAAGCGAGGGCTACAGGTCACGTGTGATCTTTTCTGTAACAGGCAGGATGCTGTCACCTTATTGTTTTTGTGGCAAACAGTCCTGCTGTCCATTGAAACCCTAATCCCAGTCAGAGGGGTTTTGCTCTTGGTTTTGAAGGCTGGATGCCATCATCGGTAATTTCCCAAGATTCTGTGAGCAGAAACTCCTGAAGCTGTTGACCTTATAGTTCATAAAAACGTTTCTTCATTGCCAAGGTTACCATTGTTGGATCTGAGTCTTTAGAGCGAATCAGTTTACATTCAAACAGGAAAGCAAACCATGTTTTAATCCTACTATATTCATTAATTTATCTTTACAAAAATCCTTCAGATAGTTTTGGTTTATATCTTTTTACATGCCCACAAAGACGGAAATCTGAGGGCTCGAAGGATCAGTTTCTTCCTCTAGGCATGTAATGTGAGGTCATTTTAGGCATAAACATGGAGTTAAGTTGTGTCTGCTCTTAAAGAGGTTGACTGTGAATGGATCCAAACTTCATGTTTCTTCTTCCTTCCTCGATTTTTTTTCCCTTTTTTTCCCTCCTCTAAGACACTCTTGACCTAATCCAGTAAACTCTAATTAAATGTCTTGGTAAATTCTGTTTCAAGCCATTGTGAGTGGTGTCAGTGACACCCAATCTGTTCCACTAAGGTCAAATTAGCATCTTTTACTATTTTTCTGGCATTTAAATGAATGACTTTGCTATGGTTTTTCAACTGTTTATGGTAAATATGTCTATTTGATGGCAATATAAATATGCATTACGTGTAAGTGGCTGAGCACACCCTGCTGTCACTTTTTATTGTAATCAGTGTCTTTCACTTTCCGTGGTTTTTTAATAGGGACTGGCTGACAACGCTACATTAAACCATTCGGACTCAAAAGATAAACCCCTCAGCATCCCTTTTGTCTGCAAAAGTACTTGTGTTTGTGTTTTTCTCCTAGCATGCCAGTTACACCGTTCTCTGACATTTCCACTTGTGGACTTTGGGAATGAATGACAGGCTTACTCAGACCGGAACCTTGACCTGGGGACATCGTTTGACCTCACACACTTGAGTCAGTATCTGCGAGGCCATCAGAACAGTGTGGCACTGAGTTGACTTTCTTTCCCTGCTGGTGGTTTTGACATCGACAAGTTCACCTAATGCAGTACGAGAGAGGCCACTGGGGAGCTGAAAATGGGCCCACGGTCCTTAAATTCCCCAAGATTTTGGGAGCAGAAATTCTTGAAGTTTTCTAGAGTGTAGTTTAGTAAAAGTATTTCAGAATTGCTAAGCCAGGCGCTGTTAGAGGTGCACCATTTTTACAGTGACACTTGAAATTTAGACCTGGGAGATTGGGGCCATGTTGACGGGTTTTGGAAATCGGGAAATCCGTGGGAAATTGTTCTGCCTGCAGCCGTTCTAGCTACGTGCATTTCCAGGATGTAGTTAAGGAGGCAGGAGGCAGAGTAGCAGGTGAACCTTTTCCTTCTGCCTTTTTTGCTGTGACTGGGCAGGTGTGGCCTGGGAACCCAACAGAGGTTCCTTCTGATCCAACGGGAATGGTTTCAGAGTAAAGGTGAGATTCTGCCACCAGGCCGTCCCTTCGGAAACACCCCTTTCCCTGTGATACCGCACGCCCTGCCCTGCTCTGGCCCACGTCATGCAGCCAGCCTTTCCCCCCACTGCTGCTGAAGGAAGGTTCCCCGTCTCCTCCCATGCCCTGCCCTGCTGTTCAGACTGCCTTGCTCCCTCCCGTCTACCCGCTCCTGGAGGCCCCATGAAGGCCCCGGACAACAGGAAATCTCTCTTCCCCGGTGACCCGTTGTTCATAGAGTCTGCACATCAGTGGAACAGTTCCTTCTGTTGCTTCCTGTTTTTCTCTCTCCACATAGATCTTAGGCTTTCTGGAAAGCTGGGACCATGTCCTACCCCTCCGTCATGCCTATCACTGAGCACACAGTGGCTTTCCCGTGTTCCCCTACATAGAGCAGGTGATGGGAGGAAGCAGTCAATGCAGGGGAGGGGCGAGAGGAAAGGCTGGTCTGAGGTGAAGTGGTGGTGGTGGTGGGGGTGGGGAGACCGGCCGGATTCTTCAGCACTAACCAGTATAGGGACTTGAGTGGATGTGGCCACCACAAACTCCGGTCTTGTGGGTTCCTTTCAAACGTGCTGGACCGTGAGAGCTCTAAAGAAACGTTATTATATCCTGGACATGGGTGTCGTAGCATCTTTATGGCCATTGGGGCCCTTTCGCAGTTGAGGAATGATGTGCTGGGAACGGCACGCCTCAGGTACACCTGAGCATCCGCAGGTGAGGAGAGCTGCGACCATGACCGGCCATGGATTTCTTTTCTACCCAGCGACCTCGTGGGCTCAGCTGAGTCCCTGCCCCATAAAGCCGCCTTTTACCACCCTAGGTCTCACGGCTCCTAGACCTATTACTCTTCCACTTAGTTTTATATGTTATTTACTAATTTCTCGATACAGTTGACTGTATTTTATATGTGCTTTGAGCTGAGGAGCCCTGTCTGGTGCTATTTTGTATCCTGTCCCCCCCACAAAAATGCCCAAAGCGTGGTGAACATGAACTAGGCAGCTAACACCGGTGAATTAATGGCTTGGTAGATGACGAGCTGTGCCGAGTCCCGGCAGCAGCACACCGAGGCGATACACCCCAGGGCGGGCTTGCTCTGTGTTTCCAAAGAAGGGAACGAATGTAGCAGTTATCGCCAAGGCCGACTTCCCCGCTCTGCCCTCCCGCTGCAGCCCCTGCCCTGTGGCTGCCCTCCCTGGTAGCCGCTGTTAGCCAAGACCTTTTCAGCTGCTCTTTAATCTGATCCCGGCTGGTTGCGGTGTTTGGAAGTGTTGGTTTTGTAAATGTTTTTCTACTCCTTTTGTCTCAAAAGAGGAATGTCTTTTTGAGACAGCCATTTTAAGATTTGTCCACTAGAGGGCACTGTTGAGATAGATATAAAATACATTTTTTTCCCCCCAGGGGCTTGTGCCTAAAGATTAAAATCCAAATTTGTGTTAGCAGATGAAATTTTTTGTAAGCTCTTCGGCTCTGTCCAATGGGGCGTGTTGCTCTTGCCATTTGTATAGTGCAGTTTTGCCATAATTAAGGTAGATCCTCCTGTAAGGAGGTGCGCTATTTTTGTTTTGCTTCTGAAATTATATATTCACTTTCACATACCATTTCTTTAGTGTTCATTGTTGCTACTTTCTCAAGTTAGAAACTTTTCTCCCAATATCTTCAAATTGGAAGAACTTTATTGTCTTTTGTAGTATTTTGTATTGAGTATATGTGAGATTATATATGTATGTATATAACCAGGTTTTAATTTAAGAATAACTGTGTGAAACTTAGGAAAATGTACATTTTGTGCATATTTATACTGATGCTTCTACCAAGTGCCATTGTGTAGGGAAAAATGCTGTGCGTTATGAAATGAATTACATTCTGCATCAGTAATAAAACAATCTCTGGGCATAATTATTTAACGTGAAGCTTTTCTTAATTTTGTATAATAATATTTAAATAATTTTATTCTTACAGCAAGACCCATATACAGATAGTGCCAGCACCTTCAATATGACGGCAGTATTTTTCATTTTGTGACCCATGCCTATTGAGAATTAAGTACCCCTTATTTTGTGCAAGAAATACAAAGGGTATCGTTTTGCTCAATGCAGACATTGAGCAGCCAACTCAGTAAACCTTTGATAAGTGTGAGTCTCTGAATGCAATGGCTTAGTTTTATTCTTTGAACTTTTAACTGCCATGTAAAACGTTTCCTTGAGGTATTAGCAGTTTTACCTGCAGTTTCAGGCCTTAATGTGACCATATCTTGTCATTTAATGTATCGGAAATGGCTAGGGAGGCAGTAAACCTAAGTTTTATGGCATAAGGTGTGTGTGTATGTGTTTTTTAAACAGACTATTTCCTATATAGCTTATGTATGAATTTGAAATTACAGGGAACGAGAA